CACTAGGAGGTAAACTTTTACGAATTCTTTATCAACTGATAGACAAGAGATTATTCCATTGTTTGAATTTCATTATGCTATTTGCAAGGCCACATTTCCATATATTTCTACTTTTTACATTATATCGATTATTTCATATATTTATTGTTTTATAAATTTTAGATTTATCTTCTGTGTTTTCTATCCATGTGTTCCTTTTCTATTGAATTGCAAGGGCATGTCTTACCAAGAATTCCCTCCATTTCATTATTTACTTCTTTATTTTCTTTCTTTTTTTTTAATATTGGGGATTGAACCCAGGCGCACTCTCAACCACCAAGACACATCCCCAGCCCATTTTGATTTTGATCCAAGGTCTTGCTAGATTGCGAGACTGGCTTCAAACTTGTGATCTTTCTGCCTCAGTCACCCAAGGCAGGTGTGTGCACCATGTCTGTTTTTTGTTGTTGTTGTTGGTAGTTGGTGGTATTATTGTTATTTAAATATTTTGTATTTTATTGTAGTTGGACACAATACTTTTATTTTATTTTTATGTAGTGCTGAGGATCAAACTCAGTGCCTTGCTAGGAAAGCGCTCTACTGTTGAGCCACAATCCCAGCCTCAGTTGGTGGTATTTTGAAAGATGATTTTGTCTTATGTTTATAGTTCAGAGCTTCTGGATGTAATCAAATCTGTCACACTGTGCCTTTATATTTTCTTTGAGTAGAAAAGTATTTTTACCTCTATTATGGCTATTTGGGGTTTTGTTTTTACATTTTAGCACTTGACATTAAGCAGGTAAATGGTATGAGGCTTAAGAACCTGTATTTAGCCAGGGGATTGGAGTTACCACAGAGTAACTTCAGAAAGATGGCCATAGCTCCAGCACTCCTGTCTAAGGTATTGCTAATTGGGGCAGACTAGGGTATGGTGGTATGTACTCTCCCAGTTCCCAGCCTGGGCCTTGCCAACTCTTCTGAGAGAGCATCAATTACTAGCATAGACAGCTAGCCTTGGATTTTGAAGACTTGATCCTACAGCCAGGCTTTTTTGTGTGAACTTGGTTTGCCAGGATAGTATAGTCCTTTCCCATCTGCCTTGGGAGAGGCCTTCCCTGTCACACACAACTCCAACCCTGCATGATCCAGCGGGCCCTTGACTCACATGGCAGAGCTCCGCCTCTCTTCTCAATATCTTGCCTAGTCCCACTCTCTTGACTGAATTAATTCACTCTCATAAAGCCACCTCTCTTTTCTTCTAAAGGAGTATCTGAAGACCTCATCCTTCCCCTTGTGCCTTTCCATCAGCTTCCTCCACCATGTTTCTGACCCACTGGTATCAAGAGCTCCACATCCAGCTGCATAGCTTAGCTCCATTCTGGTTTCTCAGAGAAGCCCAGATAGCATGTATGGCTCCTCCCCTTTTCCTTCTAATCTGCATTTCTTTTATTACTCAGTGTCCACACCCAGGGTGAGTGCCTGGATAAAAATCTACCCTTCCCCCCAGTCACCCTTTCATTCCAGATGTAAGCACCAGTGGCCACCTTCCCAGGTCCAGTTAGAGGCTCTAGACTCACAGTAACCTGAGGCAGAACAATGTCCTCTTAAGTTTACCAACCTCCTGGATCCCAAGTCTGATTCTCATCAACCAAGCTTGTTATGGAGCACCACTAAGCAGTTAATGATTATTCTTGTCGTTAACTAGGAGGGGAGGAGCTTATTCCTCATCTTCACCCATTTCACGCCTTTCAGGACTCTGCACTCCAAACTGACAGCACTTCCTCAGACTGGACTAGCCCAGATAAAGAAGAGAACCAGGCTGCTTCTCAGCTTGCCAGCTTGATGACCTTCAATAAGACACCTTCTCTTGGGAGGTCAGACTAGATGATCTCAACTCTTTCAGAAGAGTTGTGAAGCAATGAAGAGGGGAAAATACATATACGGGAAGGTGGAACTTGACTGTATAGTTGGATGGGTTTGAGAGAGGTCCTCTGATGACTTGCTGGGGGTGGGGGATGGGTGAAGATTCCTATGGGAACTTAGAGCTCTGGGAAGCACACTTCACTGAGGCACCCATGGGTGACTTGTAGGGTATACCTCTGTCACAGTAATTCAGAATCCTGCTCATCATTCTCACTGTATTGTTGGAGATCAGGTTCAGTTGGCTAACCCAGCCCTTAAACCCACTTAATTTCTTTTTATCCTATTAGAGGAATATGATACTCTGAGAACCTAAGATTCTAAAATGATTATATCAGTATCTTTATTTGGCTTGGTGTGGTTCTATCATGTCTTGTACTGTATCCATGTAGAGAGTGGTGGTAGAGAGCAACAGTAACCTTTCCCAGTATGACTGTGATTATGAATTCTGCCCTATGGCTTTTGATGCTGCTCTGGCTTACCAAAGGTCACCTGCCCTTGGCTACAAGAAAACCTAGTCCATTGCATGACCCATGTTAGGTGCACAGTAAATATTTGTTAAGTCAACGTTGCCTAGTATATCCCTGAGTGTAGCAGTCTTCCATCCCTTTTCACCCTGCAGTTGTCTCCCTTATTTTGATTATGATTAAGTAAAAAGCTCCCTAAACTACTAGCAAAAGATGAGAATTTAGGCTTGAACTATTGTGGTATCTTCTGGGACCTAGTGGGAATATATGTACTTTTAGTTTCACACCCTTTCCCTCATCTTGCTCTTGGAGTTGCATATGTAATACTTCTTTGGGGTCAGTGGTGGGAACATATGAAAACATCTCTGGCTCAGCATATGAAAAAATTGGGAGACAATAGGATTTGAACTGCACATTGAGATACGCAAGATCTCATAAGAAAGTACGCAATGCTGGATGACCCAGGTTTCCTCTTGCCTTAAAGATCCTAAGCATCTGTAAGCCATATAAAGAGACATTAGGAACAACTCTTTGGAGATGGCTGACTTTAGGATCATTCCCCAAACCTGCTAAGCTTTCTACTGAAACATCAAAAAGACTTCCCTTCCCTTGCTGGGTATGGTGGAGCATGCTTATGATCCCAGTGACTCAGGATGCTGAGGCAGGAAGATCACAAGTTCAAGACCTCCTTCAGCAACTTTGCAAGACCCCCTCTCAATAAATGAAAAGGACTGGGGATGTAGCACAGTAATAAAGCATCCTGGGTTTAATCACTAGTGCCAAAAAAATAAAAACCAACTTCTTACACTTGCCAGGTTCAACCCTGGCTTCACTCCCCTTGGAACAGGAAGCTTGTGCTAAAATGTGAAGCAGCTCTCTATTCATTCCCTCTACTTTTATGCCCCCCTCTCCACACCACCATAGGTATCTCCATCTCACTGTTCATTCCTAAACTGGAGGAAACTAGGTTGATGTGAAATTCTGTTTTGACCATTTTCAGGCTCCTATGGGCAACAACAGGCCCAGCAAAAGCCTCCTTTCTAAAATCTTGCTTTTGCCTAACATCCCCTGGCTGCTGTCCCCATATGACCCAAATAAACAGATGATCATGTGAAGCCTGTAAGGCTGTTTGTTTTAAATAGCAAGCATCTCTACTAAGCTCTGGAGCAGATAGGATATTGGGGGCAAGGGAGAGGTTGACATTCAAATCTGTTTTGACCCCACTTTTGTCTCCCCGAAGAAAAAGATGTCTTCTGAATACTACTTCAGATATGTGCCTATTTAAATGGCATAGAGCTGTTCCCCAAAAATAAAAGAAGAACTGGACTTATGCTTCTAGAAGACTCCAGGGTTTAAGTGCTATGACCACTGAAGGAAAGCAGAAAAAAAACCAGACTGGATGGCATTATCTCAGGTCGATATGATGTATACTGTTTAGCTCCCTATCTCCCACCTACATATTTCCTTTAAATTTCCCATTTTCTCTTACTGTACAGAGTGGTCCAGGCCCAATCACAACTGAAACAGGTGGCAGAAAGAAAGCACTATCAGGGTCAGCACCAATCTAACCTTCCTAGGAAAAAGGCACTCGCCCCATTTGGGCTGTTGTGTTCTAATCTCCCTTTGCTTCAGTGTCATCATAAGCAAAGTCAGCAGTACCCAGACATTCTCCTATGTGTAATGACCTCTTATGCTCAGCTCCAAATGCTGGGGCATTAAATATACCAAGATCAAAGGCCCCAATTTCAAGGTTCTTGATTTTCAGAATTATCTGTGCAAGGATCCCCCCCCCCCCAGGATGTACTATGGTGCCCTCAAAGGAAAGGGGCAAAGTGTTCATTTGTATTAGCTTTCTATGCTACTGGATCTTCTCCAGCTAGTTCTGGAAATAGGCAAATATACCTCTGAGAACGCAGTTGAATGGGATGGATTGGCAGGATGGCCTTTCTCAGTGGCCCTTATAATGGTTTGTTTCCTGGCATTGTGTGATGGTGAAACCCAGGCTCCAGGATCCTGAAACCACTGGCTTTGCTCCCCACTCCTTGGACTGGTTAACCAAGGAATCTGGGGCCATAACTGAAGGTCCCATGCCTGGGCTTGGGACATCAGAGCTAGATAGATAACACTCTAGGGTGCCCTAAATATGCCTTCTGCCTGCCTATCAACACCACTGTACCAATGGGGATTGTGTGACCTCCACCAAAGAAGCAGAAGAATAGGGTTGGGTTTCAGGTGCTGATTTTTGTAGCCCAATAGCAATGTGTCAAGTGGTCAGATCTGTTCCTGCCCAGCAGTTTGATATCCATCTCTCTCTCTCTCTCTCTCTCTCTCTCTCTCTCTCTCTCTCTCTC